GAGAGGATAAGGGTTTAGAGAGAGAGAGATAATTGAAGTAGGCTTGCTTCCTTTCTTTGTAGGGTTTTAAGAGTGAGAAAGCGCGGCGGTTATTAGAGATAGAGGCGATGGAAATGGAAGAAAGCAGCACTGCTGCAGTTTGGTCCGTTTATTCATTTTATATTTATATTTTAGTAACATTTTAAAAATATTTACATTTTTAAAATTTAATAATTTTTAAAATTTTAATACTATTATCTAGCAATATATATATCTATTACTATATAATACAGTTAAAAAAAATACGACCGTAGAAAGTCTTTTCTCGCTTTTTTTTCTTTTTTTTATTATTTCTGGTAAATTATTTTAATTTTTTTATTAATTTTTTCTCATCTTCTGAATTTGGATGCGAATGAAATCCGAATTTAGTTCTTTTTTTTTTGGTTAACCAAAATTAGTTCAAATCCAACTAAATAGCAATGACCAATCAAATTCAATTTTAATTCCTTTTTCCAACCAAAATTAGTGCAAATATTGTTAACCAATCAAATCCGATGTTATTTCCTTTTTTTTTGCCAATCAATCCGATTTTTTTTTTCAAAATTTATTTAGATTTAGATTTTTATTTTATTAGTATGTTTGAAAGAGCATCAATAAATGTTTATCACATCTTTTATTTTAAAAATAAATTTGAAATTATCATACCTTTTACTTTATATGAAATTCAAAATTACATATTTTAATATTAATAAATGTTTATTATTTATTTGTTCCTTATGTGATATAATTGAAATTCTATATTAAATTTTTAAATTCAAACATTTAAAGAAAAAGATTCTAAACAATTTTTTTTGGATAAATTTCGTTTTATCTTGATTTTCATATAATCACATTCCTAACAAACTAATTAATATTATATTATTTTATCTACATTATCTAATTGATTTTTTATGATACAATTAATATAATATCTTAACTAATCAATCATTTATCTAACCAGATTTATCTCTCTAACAAACTTGCCATTTTTTTTTAAATTAAAATGGTATGATTAGTTTTATAGAGATACTTATCAATATATTAAACATTTAGAATCTTTTTTTTTTTAAAAAAAAAAAATGAGTTATCCCTTCTTTTACTTTATTTGAAATTTTGAGTTTTATTTTTAAATATATTTTTTTACATGTAAATATTTATTATTTATAATCTAAGTAACAAATATTATTGGTTTATCTTTTTTGTAAATGTTTATTATTTATTTTTTTCCTTACATGATATAATCTAAATTTGATTATTAAATTTTTAAATATCAAACATTTAAAGGAAAAAAGATCACAAGCAAATTTTTTGGGTATATTTTATTTTATCTTAATTTTCATATAATCACATTCCTAACAAACTAATTAATATTATATTTTCTATCTACATTATCTAACTGATAGTTTTATGATGTAATTAATATAATATCTTAATTATTTAATCATTTATCTAACCGGAATATCTCTCTAATTTTTTTTTATTAAAATGGTATGATTATTCTTACAGAGATACTTACCAATATACTAAACATTTAGAAACTTTTTTTTTTAAAAAAATGAGTTATCCCTCCTTATACTTTAATTGAAATTCTAAGTTTTGATTTTAAATATATTATTGTTTTTTTTTCTTACGTGTAAATATTTATTATTTATTATCTCTTTAATAGATGTTTATTATTTATTTGGTCATTAGATTTTTAAATTGAAGCACTTAAAGGAAAAGATCACAAATAGATTTTTCGGGTACATTTCATTTTATCTTAACTTTCATATAATCACATTCGTAACAAACCAATTAATACAATTACAATTATCTAACTAGAATTTTTAATATATAATTACTATAAAATTTTAATTAATTAATCTTTTGTCTAATCGAATTTATCTTTTTAACAAACTTGCCAAATTTTTCTAAAATAAAAATAGTAAGATTATTCTTACGGGTATACTTACCAGAATATTAGACACTTTAAAAACTTTTTGAAAACACATTTGAATTATTCCGTCTACTATATTTGGTTTTCAAACTTAAATTTTTAAACATATTCATAAATATTATTATTTATTTTTTCCTTATGCGATATAATCTAATTTTGGTTATTAGATTTTTAAATTCAAACATTTAAAGGAAAAGACCACGAACAAATTTTTTAGTTACATTTTATTTTATTTTAACTTCCATATAATCACAATCCTAACAAACTAACTAGTATAATATTTTATTACTCATATTTATATAATCAAAAATTTATTAAGATATAATTAATATAATATTTAAAATATTTAATCATTTATATAACTCGATTTAACTCATTAACAATCTTGCCATTTTTTTTAAATTAAAAAAAATGGATGATCTTTACTTGTATAATAATAAAAAATAGTTTTACTTTAAATTCTGGATTCTTTCCATTGTTTTTTTGTACGTTAACAATCATATATTGGATAATTGATTGAAAAAAATCCAAACCGTAAGGTTTAATAATATTCCTTATTAATAATAAAGAGAATTGTTTAATAATATATATTTTTCATTGTTTGTATTTATTTCATAACTAGTACAACACCCGTGTATTACACAGGTGTTTGCTAATTTTTTTCTTAAAATCTAAAATTAATGAGAAAAAGTAGTTGAAATTTTAAGTATCTTTTACAAATATATATATATATATATATTATTATATATATTGTATGACACTTTTATTTGTGCGACTTACATGTGTCATATTATAATAATTTTTTAACTTACAACATATAATTATATTAAAATAAGGCAAAATTGCGGCTAATATCATGACTTTTATCGAGATTGCAAATTAATCACAACCTTTTAACTTTTGCATAATATATCACGTCCTTCAATTCTTTGCAAAACGATACATGCGCTGCCCCAACTCGTCTGACGTGGCACTCAAAATGCCAACGCACCTGCTGATGTGTATTTAACAGACGATTTTTTTGCATAATTAATCACAACCTTTTAACTTTTGCATAATATATCACGCCCTTAAATTTTTTTGCAAAACGATACATGGTTTAATAGATGATTTTTTTTCATCTCATCCCTGGACGAGATGAGGGGGATATTTTGGAACCCTTGGGGATATATTAGGCTAGGGCTGAAGAGAAAACAGATTATTGAGACTTTTATCTTTTTTTTTCATCTCAAAACTCATTCTCTCAACAACTTTCACTTGGTTTTCTTTGGATTTTACTTGGATTCGAGTTCTGGAGATTGTGGCACTCCATAACGAACACGGTTTGGTTTGTAATTCGATTTTATTCTCGACTTGGATTAATAATAATTTCCTTTCATTTGATTGTGGAAGTGATTTATTATGTTGAATCTTTTGTTGGGATTGATATCAATATGTGTGGCTAAATCACTTCGTTAGGGATAGGGGATATTTGTTTTGGTTCGATTGAGATTCGTGTGTATGTGTTTGTCGTTCAATCTTTTCGAGTTGTGCTTAATCTAGGGTTAGATGTTTGATCATCATTTTAATCTAGTTAATCAATTTGTAGAACCGGAAGGGGAGAAATTGATTGATCTCAGCTCGTTTAGAATATGCTTGTTCGTTAATAGATTGTCTATATGTTATAATTGATCGTTACGAATAGTTATTGAGAACAAGCCTCTAAACGAGTATGTTATTTGATCTCTTAACCGAGCGGTTGCGTGCTAATTGATTGCTTGAGAACCATAATCGAATATCTCCGACTCCCTAACTCACCAATCATTATTTGAACTCCATTTGGAATTTGAAGTGTGTCTTGCTTTATTTTTAGAATTTGTAGTTGATAATCAAAACAAAAAATAATTGAATTAGAGTGTTTCGGATTTGTTTTTTCTTTTCGTGTGATTGAATACACGTGCAAAGTAATTCGGCTAACCTTCCTTGAGAGACGACCCGGTGTTTGAATCTTTTCGTGTTCCAAAATCTCTAGCTCTAGCCTAATATATCCCCAAGGGTTCCAAAATTTCTCCCTCATCTCATCCAGGGATGAGGTGGAAAAAAAAAATCATTTGTTAAATACACGTCATACGAGTTGGGGCAGCAGATGAAAACGTGTATAGTTTTGCAAAAAAAATTAAGGGTGTGATATATTATGCAAAAGTTAAAAGGTTGTGATTAATTATGCAAAAAAATCATCTGTTAAATCATCAGCAGGTGCGTTGGCATTTTGAGTGCCACGTCAGATGAGTTGGAGCAGCGCATGTATCGTTTTGCAAAGAATTGAAGGGCGTGATATATTATGCAAAAGTTAAAAGGTTGTGATTAATTTGCAATCTCGATAAAGGTCATGATATTAGCCGCAATTTTGCCTTAAAATAAATATATCAATTGATAAAGAATTTTATTTTTCTAATGAATTTTAATAAATATTATTATTCTTTATTATTATAAAGATAAATATAATTTATTATTTCATATATACAATATGGATGTCAAATCGAAGATCATCAAAAGATAATTAATTTGATATATAATATATGTAAAACCGATAAGAAATACAAAAGTTATAACTTTTAAAATGCATTTACAATTCAATAGCTAATTGAAGGAAACAAATCAAAGTCAGTGATATATTAGTCACTTAGTGTCTCAATATTTAAAATTACAAATAACTATAGGGTTATATTAGTA